ACTGCCCTACATCTGCTTCTAAATAACTTTTCTTACTGAAGAATGTCTTAGATTTTTATATATACAAAGCAAGGTGGATGTCAAGATGCCCCAAACTCTTGTTTTGTTGGGCATTTTAATACTGACTGTATGACCATAGAGAGATCTTGCCATTAAGTCAGTCTTCTCGTTGTGGTATTCCTTACTTTATAATGTCTGCATCAAGAGGAAAAAAAAGTAACTTGGATTTTTATTTAAAGAGAAGACAGCTTAAAGCATGTTCTTCCCAGAAATGGGCAAATATAGTTCTGTAAATTTCTGACCTTTTCATGAAATTCCCTAGACTGTCAGGTAGGGATTTCCCTGAAATCAGTGGAACAAAGCTGGTAAGATTTCATGTCCCAGGCAACCTGTTGCTCTTTCTTACTTACCCTCCAGTTTTCATTTTATAAACAGGTTTAGAACCAAGTGTTAAAAGCCTTGAGACTTTGGACTGTATTTTCAAATGACTTCCAAATGTGGGAGGCAAGTGAGGTGTAGAGGGTAATCCCAGGCCACCTCGTGGAGTGTAAAAGAGGAAGAAAGGAGTCCTTCTGGACTAAAGAAGATTGAAGCACGATCGAAAGATTTGGTTTCTTGGGTTGAATCTGTTAGTTGTGATTCTGTCCCTCCAGTCTGCTTTCTGCTGGCTGCAGAACAATATTTAAATTGTAAGAAAGGACAATGTATTTAAGTTTTAGAATGGGAAAAGCTGACCTTGGATCTTTGTTAGGCAGCTTAATTATTTTCTGGTGGCATAAGAAGGTCTGACAATATCACATGGCATTCGAAGACTTGGAGAATTGAGTCCTTTTTTGATATGTTAACTGGAAGAAAAATACAAAGCATTGAGGAGCTGTATTGCCACTATCCTTCAAAAAAATTAATGAAATTTTCTTTTCCAGAGCGCAAGCCTCCTTTGACAACTGCGGTTTCAATGGGAGAAGGAGAGCAATCTACTACTGTGGACTCAGTAGATATGCCAAAGGTCCAGATTCCTCCTCCTGCTCATCCTGCCCCAGTACATCAACCTCCACCTCTGCCGCATCGTCCCCCTCCCCCACCCCCCACCAGTTACATTACAGGGATGTCTACTACAAATTCCTATATGTCAGGGGAGGGTTATCAGAGTCTTCAGTCAATGATGAAAACAGAAGGACCAACTTACGGAGGTTTACCACCGGCCTATGGACCACCAGCTCATCTACCATATCATCCTCATGTCTATCCTCCCAACCCTCCACCACCAGTTCCACCTCCACCCCCTACTTCTTTCCCCCCGCCCAATATTCCACCTCCTACTCCAGGATATCCTCCTCCACCCACATACAACCCTAATTTCCCACCTCCAAGACTGCCTCCAACTCATGCAGTACCACCTCATCCACCTCCAGGGCTGGGAATGCCACCAGCCAGTTACCCCCCACCTACTGTTCCCCCAGGTGGACAGCCGCCTGTACCACCTCCAATTCCACCACCTGGTATGCCACCTGTAGCAGGACTCGGACGTGCTACATGGATGAGATAGCATGAGGTAATTTGCACGATACCCATTTCTAGGCAGGAGTAGCTAGCCAAAACCTACATTGTAAAGAGAAGAGGAGGGTAATTTGTATAATTTAGATGAAAATGAGGAGGAGAAATGAAAATTTAGCTGATCTGTTTGCAGTATTGTTTATGGTGAGTTATATAGGCTTCTAGATTTTAATCAGCTTTGCAGTATCCTAACTTTATACATTTGACTTAAGTTTAAATTGTCTTGAGTTATTCCAGCACTGGATTACTTTGTACTAGCAAAAGCAGCCATATTGGCTCAATTGTATCAGCAAGAAAATAATTTCCTTCTACAAATCAGTGCCTATTTTTGCCTATCAAAATAGCCAGATACCATTAAATTTGATATTGTAATAAGAAACTTTTGTGTTTAGCAATTAAAGCAACACAATGTCAAACGTAAAAGCTACTGTATTTAAGAGAGATTCTGAGTGCTAGCTGACTGGAATCATTTTGAGGTGTTGGCTTTGCTGATATTTTTGGTTTGGAATGTACTGGTATCTTAAAAGTATTGTATGTTTACACCTATTTGCAAATTTCTGTACATAATATATATATTTTGTAAGTGTGAAAGTCTGAATGTAACAGCCTACTGTGATGAACATCCTGGTTATAAATGGGACTACCTTGCTCACATCTACTCAAATAAAATTGGTTCTGAATTCAGTGATTTCCAGGTTTTTCCTATTAGTTCAGAATTCATGACTGTGGTACTTATTGCAAAATATTTCAGCAGGGGTCTCCCAAATCTTATTCATAAATTTATTTAAAAAGGATGTATTTTATTTTATTCAACTAGAAGTATACACTATCACAATCAATCTCTTCATTTTTACTAAAATATTTCAAATGAATGTTTTACACACATTATTAAAAAAATCTGTACTATTACTTTCCCGCCCCCAAAAAGCCAGAGTGGTTCAGTAACAGGTAAAAACGTGTGCTAAAGTCTAAAGAACTTTGCTATATACACAACAGCAGGTGCTGACTTTTCCAGTTCTTTGTAAATCATATACAGAAAATAGAGCAGGGCTGTAAGATCACAGGTTTAACAGAAATCAAACTTTAAAACTGATTTCTAAAGCAGCACAAATAGACTTTCCCCACATTATGAAAAATATACAGTTTTATCACTTTACAGTCATGCACTTTGAAGACCAGTAGTACTCTTCCCCCACAGTTTTTAGAAAGATAAAAGGTCACTTTAACACTGATTTCTTTTTATATCTAGTATTTGGATAAAAAATGTGCCATTCTCAAACAAGGTTGTGCTCAGCAGTCTTCTCAAGGTGCAGAGAGCCAGCTGAAGCTGGTTACACCACAGCATTTCCAAAACTGTTAGGGAAATGCTGCTTGCTTCAGCCACTCCAACAAAAGTCAAGGATGTGATTTTACTTTCCTTAAGCAAGCAAAGTCCATGTGTAAACAATGGATGCTTTCTTTGTCAGAGGACTGCAGAACCCCGGGTTTCAATCTTGAGGAAATTAACTTGGACTATTGCTCAAAATACATCAAATTAATGGCCACTATTTCAAGGGATGCTTCCATCCAACTGAATACATAAAGCTCTTCAGATAGCTTTCACAGAAGACTTAGCACATGGGTGAATGCATCTAAATATGCATAAACACCATCTTTTTAGACAACTGAAAATTCAGCACCCAAGTCATCCTGTAAAGTCATTGAGCGTCATTTTACCTAAGGAAGACACTTTACAGCTCAAATGGAGCTAACTATGAAGAGCAATGCTAAAAGCCCCCAGACAAGAACATCCCAACATACAGTATGTTCTTCTGCAATATCAGTGACACACTTTTTACACAGAAGATTTATGCTGCCAAAGAGAATCTTAAAAAAAATGGAATCTACCCTAAAAGTATAAAGGTTGTTCAGCTGAATGACTGCCCACCCTGTAAACTGGCTCTTCAGGACCTGCAGCACTAACAGACCTCAATTGTAGCACTCTTTCCTTTGGAGATGAGATCTGCAGGTGGAATAAAACAAGCTTTGCCTGAAGTCATTGAACAGATTTGGAGAGAGATTCGATAGCAGGGAGTATCTGAGCATTACATAGCTGGAGGGGCTAGTAATCAGATTAGTAATACAGCTCTTGTCTTGTTCAGAGGTCCTACTAGTCTAACGCACTCCTAAAATAGCAAGCATCTCATCAACACAACTCTCTACAAGTGCTGGCAACATTTGCATTGCTTTAGTTAAAATTCACTGATGTAAATTAACCTTGTTCCCAGTATGCTTAAATTCTCCACTTAATCCAGCGATTGGATGCCACCAAAATTAGAATGGGCTTTCAAGCAGACAGATTAAAGTAACCCTCTGTTCAATATTAGATGTTAAGGAAGAATGATGTCTCTGCTTTACATCACCTTTTCTGGAACGACAATCTTAAGGTATAAATTGTACTGGAGGAAGACAACTAATCAATGGTGACAAGAAACTGGTGGTCAAAACACAAGGCGAAGAGGAGGAAATCCACAAGCCTCCAAAGACGCTATATTTTAAAGGAGACAGACTCTAGAATGGATTTTTCCTGACTCCATAGTATGTAAATATTACTACACTTAAGGGTTAGCTAACTCAGTGTTGGCTGATTGAGAGCTTATTTCGTACTGAGTAAGAAATAAAGCTACAGGTAAGTGTACGAGTGAGAGTATGTGTCTGTGTTTTGGGGGATGGTTCTTGCTTTTTAAAATATAACCTACTTGACTGTTACATTTTTGTTCCTGAATGAAGTGGTGCTTACTCTTCCTGGATACTGTGTATTTTGACTGTATTCCTTCTCTTATTTTTTACTGGTTACAGATTCCAGCTCCGACACTGCAAATTCTTCACCCAGGCAGCTAGTTTATCGTATACCATGGGACCAATTACCTTTCATAACTTGCAGCAAGGGCTCCTTGGTACTGTATCGGTGCTCCTTGTTAACACAATACTACAAATCAAAGAACTCAGCTGGTAGAACAAATTAATTTAAGAGGAAGAACCTGTCCAGTTAATTCAGCTGTCTGTAGCTGTGACCGATTCTTATGGAGATAAAAAGAAAGTGATGGTGTTTGAGGTCATTAAATCTTCAAACTAATCACTATAATCAATGCAACATTTGAAGAGAAGGCTTTGATCTTTTCACATGCCTGTCTTTAAAATTATTTCACACCAATGAGTTTAACAACCCAGCCCTGCTTGCCTGGACTATTGGGAAAGAACATCTAATGAAATACAGGGGCAGCTGCTTTCACAACTTGGAAAAGAAGGGGGGCAAATTCTTACAACTATACAAGCAGCTACTCCACAATAGCAGAATGTAAGTCCCATTGTTTTATATACAACCATTTGAAGGGGGAAAACCGACTTGTTTTGGTTCATTAAGAAAAATAAAGCTTGAATGGCAGAAAGCAGTCTCAGAGGACAGCCTGTGTTTATGGCATTTTTATTCAGCTCCACAAGGTTGTTGTCCAGCCACTTTACACAGGAACCAGTATAGGTGAGGGATCCAGCAAGAACATTAAAAAAATCGCCCAAATCTTCCTTACGTGAAAGGTTTGCTGCTCTCGAAGATCCTGTGAACACCACAAGCACTGTGAGGATGGCAGTTTCTGATTAATTGCTCTGTAGTAGATGTACAGGGAAGGTGCTGCCATGTTTGTAGGGAATACTGGTGTGTGGCTAAATGACTTCATTCACATTGTGACTGCAGACATCTCGTGTCATTTTTAAGGAAAAATAGTTCATTAACAGATGATACAGAGTCTCATGCGTTTCTGCATGCTTGTGTGGTGAGTACCACCATACAATGCAGAGTGGTGCTGGCGTTTTTAGCTCACCACTCAGTATTTTCCACAGCGCTTTGTGAAAACAGTTGCATGTCATTCTTCTGAACAAGGACCTCCAAAATCAAGTGTTAGCAGCTCAAGAGCTTGGCAGGCAGGTAAGCCAACAAATTCAAGTTGCATTTTCCTTGGAAGGTGCTGCCGGGAGCCACTATGAATCACTGACAAACGGGTGGACAGGAGTGATACAAACTGTGACTTCTCTGCAGTTGAAGGGTTCTTGTTCCTCATAGAAATTCTCTTGAGTTAGTTAATTCTACAAACAGACCATTACAATGAAGCAGGTTTGAACTACAATACAAATGATGCAAGTCTGGCATTACTGGATGGTTACCCATTGAACAGTAGTTCCAGAGCACCACAGCCTGGAAATCAGGCCTTTAGCTGCCATATTTACACTATTGTTACAAAAGAAAGGGGGGGGGGGGGGGGAGAAAACCCTGAAAAAACTCAACCCCAACTCCCAAATAACAAGCAGCCAGAAACGCTGAGCTCTGCCTCTTCAGTCTTCACAGAATCCATCACTTCCAGTCTTGGGATGCTGCTCCTACAAGGGACCCTTGAACTGGTTTCCTGACAGATGTTGCCTGATGGAGGGTTTGGAGCTCGCAGCATCACCCAGCTTTCGCCAGACAACCTGTAAGAAAGAATAATTGGGTGGGGAAAACGAACTAAAATCCAAAGTCTGTGAGGATTTCTACAACTGGAGTCTGCAAGTCACCATCGGCCGTTTCCCAGAGCTGCGCTGTAATTCTCAACAGAGCCACTGGATGGCACCTGCGCACCAGTTCCCAAGGAAAACACTATTGATGCGTTTTTCTAATTAGTCCCTCTTGAAACTAAAACTGGTTTTGCTTTGGGTAACAGTATAAACAAATACACTAGGTTCAGAAGTTAAGTTCAATGTTAGTTCACCCCTGCTATGCTTACAGAAAAGATGTTACCATGAACAGAAAAAAAGAATGAAAAAGATAATGATTAAAAAAACACATCTGTGACTTTCTAAAAACACACAGTTTATCACTCTAGGGCCACTGGATGGACGGAGACAGTTTCTTTAAAAATAAGAAGCTGCAAAGCACTTTATATCTGCCTACATTAAATGAATATTTTAAAGAAAAAACAGCTGATGATGAACAAACAGAAATTAGTCCATTTGGAAGGATAAAGTTACGGTGTTTCACCATTCCCCCTGCCAAAGGGGAATGTGGCATTAAGCAGACAAAATACCCTAAAGAGCATGTGCCCATTTACTGTGGTTTTGGCTTTGCTCATAGGTATCCGGCAACTGAAGGACCTCAGCCCTTGCCAAGGATGCTTGCTCTCAAACTCTGCTCAAAGCTGAAGCATGGAGGCAGTGCAGCACATGGAGGCAGCAGGCACCACAGAGCAGAGGTTTGGTACTAAGGCCCACCATAGACAATGTGGCAAGTTCAGTTAACAGTGTGGTTGCCCAACATGGTAGCAGTGCTGATAGCACTCCACACGTCATGGTGCTGTCCAACAGCTTCAGACAAGAAGATTCTCCCTCTGATGTTATCTCAGTTTAGGTTCAAACCCATTCAAGCTGTACAGCTTTAAAGATGGCAACCAATTGCGGCTCAGCCCAAACCAAGTCCCTGAGGGCACAAGGTGGGGTCAAGTGCTAACAGGATCCTTCTAGCCAGGGAACACCCCTAGCACAGCTCTCTGACAGCTGGACTAGCTACTGTACACCCTTGAAGGCAGCAAAGTGGGAATTGCCAGCTAAGCAAAGGCTGCTCCATGCAATGAATGAGGCACTCGGGTTACTGATACCCAAAGCAGTGGTCAGCTGAGCCTCCACTCTGCCCTCGTGCCTGTAGATCTTGCATCAAGCAGGGCTTCTATGCAGTAGATCCCTGCTCCTCCATAATGCTAAGAAAAGACCTTGAAAGAAACCCCTAGAGTTACTGGGAGTTCTTACATTGCACATTTCACGAACGATCGCCTTCTCCTTTTCACTCAGGTCCTCTTCATAGCTGTCTTGCATTTGCCTGTCCAAATTTTCATGGACCTCAAGGACCTACAAAAAAAAACATTACAAAAGCATTATGCTCCTCAAATAATTACGTGTCCCTAACAGCACCATTAACCAGTATCTACATTGGCAGGAGGCACAAGGCCTCGAGGTGGGTCAAGATGAGCACATGAAGATGGGTGCCTCCACCCTCCTCCTTCACTGGTGATGGCATGCATCTGTCCACCCCCTGCATGGTATGGCTACCATCACAGTCCTGGGGGACCATGTTGTAAGTGGCAGTGAGCTGCCTGTGCCCAGAAACGCATCTCTTCCATGAAGGCTGCTAATAGCCCCACCTTCCAGGCAGCACCCACAGCAAGGCAACCCCCTCCATACTGCCTCCATCGCATCCACATGCATTCAGATTGCCCCTCCAGACAGGCATGTTGCACAAGTCAAGTGCATCACAGCACAGGACTACCTCCAGTGAGTGACCTACATACCTCACTCAGAACTTTGCCACTGATGAGCAAGGCAGTCAGCTCAAGTGTGCAGGGTCAAAGCTCCTGGAATCACCCAGTGCCATCAAACAGTATGTGGTCTTATTCACTACAATACATCCACACACATGTAAAGCCATTCAGCAGATGTATTTGTGTGTGTAACTACTCCTACATCTCCTAGGGAAGAACAGAACTAGATGCTGTGCAAGGATGGGTTTCACCCTTTCCTGAGGTACACAGCACTGGCTGCTCCATGAAATGGGATACCAGTGTAGATTATCTCCCCGCCTGCCTCAGCACAACAATCCTGCTGTATTCAAACTGTGTTACAGACAAAAACAGGTCATTCTCCTAGGGCCCTTAACCTACTTGGGGACCAGTCTTTGCACAGGTAAGAATTATCCTCATTCTTTCTAGGAGGAGAGGAAGGAAGGGCAAAAGGGTTACAAAAGGCATGTGCGTGCTGACAAAGAAAGCATCTATTTTTTGCTAAACAGGAGGGAGGAATTAATTATTGATCCAGCTGGACCGGCACATCGAACTTGCTCGTCTGGAGTCAGTGTGCCTCCAGTGCTCAGCTACAAAGGCAGCAGCCTGCAGGATCACATCCCCATGCAGAGCGCCGGGGTTGCCCGGCTGGCAGCTAAGCACTGGCTGTGTCCACAGGGCAAGCGTCAAGGACAGCCATGGTTTAAATTAGTTAAAGATCACATCAGTTCCAGCCTCTGCTTCCACCAGCCATCAATCTTGCAGGCACGGGAGTCCCAATGGTCAAAAATAAATGGTTTTTCTACGATTTGTGTTTAAACTAAAGCCACATTCCCTAGTCCAGGAGGTATGGAAGGATGGCAAAGCCCATTTCTTTCAGTAGAAATTTCTGTTAATGGTGTGAACCAGGCAGAGCTAGAGTTGAGAGCTGAGCAAACAGAAGTTATGGTTGTATTTCATTTCTGAATGACTCGGGACTCATTTACCCTGGAAACCGTCCTGCTCCCCAGACACACCTCACATCTACATGGGCACTTGCAAAGATGTGTTAGCATCTTGGGTATGGGAAGAAGTGATTCAACAGCCTGGCTGGAAAGGCATGCTAGAAAAAAAATACACTCTGATGAGTGAAATCAGGTCCTGAAGAAAGACAGGAAGGACTCTTAGTGCTGACCCAGCCCCAGCCAACCTCAGATTCTGCCAGGTGCCTCCTCAGCTGTTTAGACCAGGTTAATGTTCCTCCAATTACACTGCTGGGGACTACGGATGTGCCTTCACATAAATTGCCTATGGCTCAGCTAAAGTTCAAGGATTGTGGATTCGGCGTGGATCTAAGAAACCAGGGTACATTTTCCCATGATTTGTGCCACATCCCAACCCAGGAGCCCACAGGAAACAGAAAAACGTACCCCAGGCTTAAAAATGGCTCATGCCATCCCCTCCTTTTTGCTGTTCTTCAAGGAGCCCTGACAGCACTTGTCCCTTTGCGGACACATGGGTGAGATGGGATGGCCCTGGGTAAAACGCCAGCCAGTGCGAGCAGCCTGCTCCACTTGGATGCAGGCAGATGGGGCTGGACTGGAGTGATGCTGCCCCTCTGCCTGGAGACACCATGTCCTGAAGACAACCTGCACCTTGCTCACCTGCACCTTGCTCTCAGTGAGCATGTGGCTTGTATGGCTTTCTCCCTGATGATGTGTGAACTGTGAGGAACACCTCAAGCACATTGAATTGTCCTTCATGCACTGAAGTCTGTGATCAAGGCAGTGTCACCTCGAAGTCACCCCGTCCATCACATCCACCTCCCTTCTGACTGGCTGCACTAGCCCCACATGGCCATGAAATGCATATTTCAAAAACAAACAAAAACCTCATCAGAGTCTGGATGACTGTAGTAAAGCTTTGGAAGGGAAGATGAAAGCTGAAGTAAGCATTTCTGTACCAGAAAGCACTCTGAGACTGAAGGATGCTTTCCAAGGGGTGCAAGGCTCACTGCTTCTACTGATTTATAAGTCAACTGGGCAAAGCACTGGGGAACATGGCATCCTTCTTCAGCAAGGGAACAGTCTACATGCCCTGCTAGGACTTTTCCCTAGTTTGGGCAGGACCAAATCCTGCCTTAACAAGATCAGCAGGAGTGATTGATCACCTGCTTGATGGCTCTGTGCACATGGAAAAGGTCTAGGCTGCTGCTACAGGGGAAGTTGGGTTATAGGCTGAATGTCATTCTCTTACATGTGTCTCCTCCTCAGCTCCCCATATCTTTAGCAGGTTTTCTCAATTCCCAAGGAAAGTGCTTTGATGTTCAGTGAAATACTGAGCTGTAGCATATGTACCTTTTATTCTTGTTAGCAAAAACAGCTGTTAGGAGTGCCAACCTGTCATCTTGCTCCTTATTTAGTAGGCGCAAATAAACAAAATCTATTTCAGAAGCAAAAATAAAAGAAAACCCCTAAATGTGCTTAAGGGAGAACTTATTGATGCTAAATGGCAGACAATGCTTCAGCCACATTGCAAGTATTCAGCTGCCAAAAAAAAAAAAAAACAAGGAAAAAACCTACAGGACACTAAATAGATGGGTGCAGATGAGGCAATCCAGAAGCCCTGCAGGTCTGTGCAAAGTGCACAGCCCCTCAGTGCCCTTCGCTTGGGCACACAGCTGCACCGCTTCTGGACAGGTTTGAATGCAAGCATCCCACGAGACAAGCAAAGCCAACTTCCATCTCTCTTTGCTTTTCTTCATGGTAAGGAGCTAGCCTGCTACAGCCATAAAGTCTTCTTTACACAACCAACAAGGGCTTTTTCTAACATCTGATGTGTTACAGCCACATCACAAGTCTCCTTTTTAGGCTACCCTCTTCTCTACTCCCTCCTCAAGGGAAGGTCATGAACTGTATCACAAGCAATGAGGGTCTAAGCTGCATCCAGTTTCCCACATGCAGGGGGCTGGCACAGGAAAAGCTACCCAGTTCTGCAGGGTGCAAAGAAGAGCTATTCCATATGTTACAGCATGCCATGGCCAAAAAACGTCATCTTCCACCCAGTTTAAGATCCGCAGCTGGAGACCAACAGCCACAATATCACTGTGCCACAAGAAAGGAGGAGGAAAGACTGAGAGCATGACCAGTTTCCTCAGTCTTTTCAGTTACCAGCTGACCCTTGGAAATGGGCCACAGGATGGAAAACTAAACACCTCCCTTCCATACTGACCTACAGGAGAATTCCTCCTCACTTCAAATGTGAGAATATTCTTAAACTAAGTGTGCAAGCAGGACATGTCATGTCAGACCATTTATGGCCCATGAGATGTGACTGCTGTGCTACCTGCTTCCTGACTCTAGTCATGGCACCTTCCAGGGTTTTGGAAGCAGACAAACATATCACACTGGGCAAATCATGAAACTGCAGAGAGGAATTTTTTCCAGCCCTTCCTAGCAATCAACAAAGTTCTGAAATAGAGGATTAATAACAATATGCACAAACACCCAGCCATAAAACTTCAACTCCTGTATATGCATCACTGTGCCAGACCCCCCAAACTTACTTTCCAGTTTCCAAGAATCCTCTTCACTGATTTTCCAGTCCTTTCCATAAGCTTACCAAATGACATCTTAAAACTATTTGTTTCCTGCCCTTACTAACAAGTTCATTCACATAACCCCTAAAGCAAATAAGAACCTGATTTCCCCCCAGCATGTGTTCATGATCAATTTATAACTATTTGATCTTGTAACTTAAAAACATTATCAACTTTGCTTAATTTTGTACCTCACCAACACCCCACCAAATGCAACAAAGGGCAGGAGCAGAAAAGTACAAACCCCACAGCTGGGGAAGAAAAAGCCAAAAGCAAAAGTAGTCTGGACTGCATGAGGGTTTGGATCATTAAACACAAGTAAAACTGGATTAGTACAAAGTGTCAGAAAAACAAAAGTATCCCATGAATCTGCAACATTCTGCAAATCTATAAATCAGTATATTCCAACCAGAGCCTACTTTACTTACAGATTTTCCAGCCATTGCTAGAGCACCTTGGAAAGAACTTGTGCTTTTGTGTCCCTTAGATACTCAGAAGGAACTTGCTTAGCTAGTTAAACACAAGGGTATCACATTTTTCCAGTAAAGGATGCTCACTAGCACTTGAGAACTGCTGTGAAACCCTGGTGCAAGTTTTCTCCTTTAACTCAGCTAGCAGTGTCCCATGGGTTTTATTGCCAGTGATCCTGACTGTAATCCCCACTGATGATACACAGATCTACATGAGTATGATACTGTGGTTTGCTGTGTATTTATATAAAAAGAAGTTCTTCTCCTTTGAAGACTACTGCAGAATTTCAATAACAAAGCAGTGGAGGAACTGCATTTTTTCTGCTCCTTTTAAAAACAGCATTTTGGCCACCACTGTCACCCCAAAGATCCAGTTTACACAGGACTGATGAACAGACAGGGTAACCAACATCTTCAACATCAGCAGCTTTTGTTGGAGGTTTCCCACCCCAAAAAAATAGTCACTCCCAATCTCGCATAAGTCCACAACTATTTGAAGTGATGATTATTCACCATGATACAGGTGCTGGCTACCAACAATCTGCCTGAGCACTAACTTTCAAGTTGTTGTGTTTCCATGAGAGGAGGAAATGCCTAGTTCTGCCACTTCAGTGTTAGCTGCACCACACCACACTGTACTGCACCACGCTGCATGGCTGTGTGGGGATCTGCAGCATCCTTACCTTCATAGCGTGCACAACAGCCTCTGGCTTCTGACCAACAGGCATGTATCCTGCTGCAGGAGAAGATGCAAGATCAGATGTCATGCGAGTTGGTCCCTGTTGAAATAAGAGAAGATATGCTCTAATCCCTTTTGGGTGGTTTAAACGAGAAAGAAAATATCCAGAAAATTTGAAAGCTAGCTTCTCTCAAATTCCATCAGCCACCTGCAAAGACAAAAGACACCACTACCCTTCCTTAGAAGTCACTTGACTTAATGCCATTTAAGCCTACTATCACTCAGTCTAGATGTACTCAGGCAGGAGATCACCCCAGTTTTAAAGCTAACTTGATTTAAGAAACCTTTTTCACTCACTTAGGATAACTTTGCACAAGAACAAGATCAAACAGTTCTCATCCTTCTAGCCAAGGGAGAAAAGCAAACAAGATGATTTTCCAGCACAAAGCAGTCACTGCTAAGGACTAAGAAGCTGCATTCTCGTGAAAGAAACAGTTGGTATAACTTCATTGCTTTTCTGGCAACATTTTTACATAGACATCAAGTACCAATCTTCAGCTACAGAGAAAATTGTGAAAGCAACCTTAAAACAAGCAGATGTCCAAACCTAATGTTGGCCAGGTTTGTTTCCAAAATGCTGGCCAGTCCTCCTGCATGAAGGATCCCATTGGGAAAGATGCCGAAATTATATTTTACAAAAGATTTCTACTGTCCAAACAGCCTTGTAAGCACTTTTCATAGGGCTTTCCCTCTTTCTAAATGTGTCCAACTTGGATTATGAGAGACACAATATCTTTATTCAGTGAGATGCACCCTGCCTGTCCCTAATATTTCTTCATTGCTTTGTAGCAGTGAGAGAAATCAACAATGAAACCATTGATCAAATTCTATTTAGTCTTCACATCCTTTAGGAAATACAAAGAATTATTATACTGAGCCTCTGAAAGCAAATTAGGATGGCAGAGCGGCATGTAGCACCATCACAAGAATGCTTTCACATACAACACGAGGCACTCCTTTCTCATCTTTTGCACGTTTGAAAACACAGCACGTTTTACGCTTCATCTCATCGCTTTGCCTTCTAAGCCAAGGCCAGCAAGCTAGTTGTGTCAGAAAGGAGGACAAAGGGAGGGGCATTTCACCACCTCACATCTTTCCAAATGTTTTAAGTTGTTGGGGCCTTTTTACTAATAAAAGTGTTCGTGTGCATACATTAAAGAAAAAGATGGGCCCATTCGTTAGGCTACAGACAAAAATAGCATGAAAAGCATGGAGTCATTCATGCCTAGGCCACTGATCTGTGTTTAATCCTTGTCATGACCAACAGCCATATACTCACAACTGAGATGCTGGTGGCACAAGAACTTCCTACTGAGAGGCAGGCACCTCAGAAAAAGCAAAATAAGACTTAGCAATTCCACAGTAATTCTCCAAGGAGATGTGACAAACTGACAACACACAGAGACCAAGAGACACTCATATGCTGGGCATAGTTCTGGACTTGCTGGCAGGGAGTTACAGCAAGCTGGAGCTGTGGCCACTTGGGGACATGTCCTCAGCCATCCTGTGCACAATGTCACACAGAAAAGGCAGAAGCTGGGGACCAGGGACTGGGGCATAGCTGTGACTTAAGACTGCAAAATGGGTTACCAGTTTCTCACAGGGCTGGTAAACGCAACAAAGTCCTTCCAGAATCAGCCTCCCACAGAGGTCAAAGACACCAATACATGTGTAATTCATCTGGCATCAGAATGAAAGGTGCCTTCTTTCCATGACCATCACAACTGACAGCAGAATACTCAGGAGTTTGCAGCCATGAACGACACTTGCTATTGATCTTCCCTACAGCCCTCTTTAGAAGTAACACAGGAAAAATCAAGCAAAGGTCTAACATCCAATCTTTATTCTGAATTGAGAGTAAACTGACAAAGTAAAAGGAATTCTGAGGGACCTGGCTGTTGACAACATTTAAAATAGTTTTCTGACCAAACAAGAGTAGATCACAAGGTCTCCTATACAACAGGCAGCAGCAGCTTTTCCTCACAGAACTGAAGTCACTAATAAGCTACAAAGCATTTCCATGATCGTAATCACTCTCAAAATCATTATACAATGCAAATGAAACCAGAATGATTAGAGATTTCTTTTTTCTAGAGAGCACGATCATACTTAACAGATCACCATACCGACAAGATAAAAGTATTCCTGCAAATATGGAGATGTGCCACATGTATTGTATAACACAAAAAACATCGAAGCTTCCTGTATGGAGGCATACATAAAGGAGGCCACAAAAGAGGGAGCTGTACATAGCTGTAGGAGCTGCAAGGAAAGAAATTACAACATATCCACCAGGATGCATGGCTAGCCTTTGGAGGATGGAGAGGAAAATGGACAGAGTTCACTGATAGCGTTAGTTGAAGGGGAGGAAATGGAAGGAACTGGAGATAAGGTCAAGGTTGCTGGACTGGAAGACTGCCAACAGAGGAGAAAAGTCATGGAAAGGGAAGAAAGAGGAGGATGTACGTTTTCCCAGCAGGAAACCAGTTGAGATGAAATGCAGGGGAGGGGGAATCAGAGATAGGAGACAGGAGATTGGAAGAAGGGCAGGAGGGCAGGCGAAATGTCAGGAAGTCATTGTTAAGGTAGTAGCTGAAACCACACATATGGAGGAGATTCCTCATGCCTAAAATAGATGCATTTGGAAACTGTGGGTAAGAATTACCACAGCTGCACCCCAGCGCTCTAACTCAGCCACTCTGAAGACCTCTGTCACTGCAGAAACCCATGCCCTTCCCGTTCCCTATAGCTGACATTTTCACAGGCACGGGAACACACTGACTCAGCACCCTGCTGGACAATAATAGCAAGGTTAATCTGGTTACATCCTAAGAAGCAGAAATTGTGCATACAGGCAAAAAGCAATACGGTATGTTCTGGGGCATGTATCACTCTCCATTTCCTCTCCTTGCCTGGTTTTGTCAAATATGCACTCTCTATATTAGATGCACATCTGGCTTTTCCACTTGATAGGTTTCCATAGCATTTGGTAGCTCAGAGATAGTTCACTCTTCATCCTCAGACATGTGGCTGAGGTGTCACGTAACTATATAAAGGAATGGTGCTCAAAAACAGCTCAGAAGTCACCAAAAGGATGAAACTACATTTATAATAAACTTGGTCGTTTTTCTAGTTCTGCTGAGGCTGAACCTCAGCAGAATGAGAAGCCAAGCAATTTCAAAATGCAAAGTTTCTTTATTCTCTTTGGCCCAACTAGCTTTAGAGTCGCTCCAAGTTTACAGCAGCAGAGACAAGACTTGAAGTCTGCATGTTTAACTCAGCACTCATACAAGAAACTCGTCACTCAAAAGGAAACAACTGTGTATCTATGTTGTGGTGTCAAATGGTCAGCTGGGTAGAACTGCAACATACACCAGTTTCTGTTTCATCCACAGCCAGCTGCAATGCCACTTAGCATCAGTCCCCATCCTGCCAGCCCCACATTGTGCATGCTCAAACCACAAGCCCACCAGAGCAGCTCAATTCTGCTTGAGACCCTCCCAGAAACCTCTCACTAGAGCCTGCAGGGCTTGTGATTCAATCTGCAAGTGAGTAAGGAGATTCACAGTCCAGCTGTTTCATTAACAGACTAAGAAAGGAGAGAGGAACTCTGCAGTCTCTTATAGCACAGCATCCTTGAAGCAATATGCTATGCACAGGGGATAAATCCCCCAGTTCTCTATTGCTAAGAATGATACTTGATCTAGTGACAACCTCAAATCCAAAGCAGAAAACAAATCAAATCAAGCTATCCCCACTCACCACTCCAGCCCAGAACTCAAAGACAATCAGCAAAGCAACAGCGCTTATGTGGGAAAGAAAATCCAAAGACCATAAATACTGCCAATGATCCTTTTTAATCTAACACAAAAAATGAAGAACAGAGGCCTCAGCCTGCAGGTGCTGAAGAACATCTGCTGCTCTGTATCAAGCCACACATGGCATTGCCAATGTCTAAGACTAAGTTGCCTAATGAGTCCTTGCTGGCTCTCTCTGGTTGCATGGGATGTAGTCCAGCACAGATGCTGACAAGTACCACCAGCAATACTCTATTGCTACATGCTTGGAGGAACAAAATTAATAGGACTTTCTGTAACAGGGCATGCTGGGAATGCCTGGGAACGCCTGGGAACACACCTCCAGAGAGGCAAAGTAAGGCTTAAAATATGAACATTACTTAATAACAGTGGGAATGCTTTGGAACCCAAGAAGAAAATAGCCTAACTGGGGATGACAGGTGTCTGCTCTTTTAGAGGTTTTGGGTTGGAAATCTCAAAAAGGAACAAAGAAATCGCGATAAACAATTTCTCCTTGATTCCTCCGCGTATCTGGAAAGACATGAGACCTTAGTCCTACCATCAGTTTTCAATCTCTTTCTGCTCAATTATCATAGAATCATAGAATAGTTAGGGTTGGAAAGGACCTTAAGACCATCAAGTTCCAACCCCCCCTGCAATCGGCAGGGACACCTTGCTCTGAACCATATCACCCAAGGCCTCGTCCAACCTGGCCTTGAACACTGCCAGGAATGGAGCATTCACAACCTCCTTGGGCAACCTATTCCAGTGCCTCACCACCCTAACAGGAAAGAATTTCCTCCTTATATCCAATCTAAACTTCCCCTGTTTAAGTTTTAACCTATTACCCCTTGTCCTACCACTACAGTCCGTAATGAAGAGTCCATCCCCAGCATCCCTATATGCCCCCTTCAGATACTGGAAGGCTGCTATGAGGTCTCCACGCAGCCTTCTCTTCTCCAGGCTGAACAGCCCCAACTTTCTCAGCCTATCTTCATATGGGAGATGCTCCAGTCCCCTGATCATTCTCGTGGCCCTCCTCTGGACTTGTTCCAACAGTTCCATGTCCTTTTTATGTTGAGGACACCAGAACTGCACACAATACTCCAAGTGAGGTCTCACGAGAGCAGAATAAAGGGGCAGGATCACCTCCTTCAACCTGCTGGTCACGCTCCTTTTGATGCAGCCCAGGATACGGTTGGCTTTCTGGGCTGCAAGCGCACACTGCTGGCTCATGTTCATT